GTGTCTTTTTTGCACTTCATTTTCTTGAGTGCTTGGTGTGCCTTTTCAATCTGAAAACTCAAGTCTTTCGTTCTGGCAAATTTTCTTTTATTATTTTATAAGTGTTTTTCTCCACTCTATTTTTCTCATTTTTTCCCTCTCCTGGAATTCCTGTTTGGTTAGTACTAGGCCTCTTGAATCCATCCCTTTGTTTTCTTTTGCCTTCTGTCTCTTGTTTTCTGTTTGGAGATTTCCTCAAGGATATCTTCTAACCTTTCTATTGGATTTTTAAAATTTCTATTACATTTTTAGTTTCTAAGATTTGTTTTTCATTTCTTAAAACTTTTTATAGTATCATGTCCTTGTTTCGTTGGTGTAATACCTTCTCTTAATTTTCCTGAGGGTATTGATTATAGTTTTTAAAAAAAATTGTTTCCTGCATAGTTTCTGTTCCTCCACCTCCTTCTAGTATACTTTTCTCTTTTTGTTTGTTTTGATGCCTGTCATCCCATTCTGCAGGCTTTCCTTGAACGTCTGGTGACACTTGGCTAGCCATTTGTATGTGAGAGGGAGGTATCCGTAGAGGTGATTGAAAGCTCAGAGCATGTTATGGAGCTTGTCTGTGATGGTTGGGGAGGGACTTAGCAGTCTCTCCAGTGAAACCTCAAATGTCACTGTCTATATAGGTCTTAAGGGGAAAGGCATAAATCTCCTGTGTTGGGGCTCAAAGTCAAGCTGCCAGTGTTATGGGAACCTAACCGTTGAAGGAGGCTGAGGATCACACTGGTTTAACAGACTCCACTTTGACTTCATCCTCCTGTTTTCTGTCCGGTGCTTCATGCCTTTCCCTCAGCTGTGCGTGGAATTTCCTGGTCCAGATCCTTTCTAATTCAGTCTCCCCAGATTTGGCCAGTGCTGTGTGGCTTGATGATGGGGATCTGGGGCTCAAAATACTCCCATAAAAAGTGTTAATCCTGCACCTCTGCCTTTGGTATACTTGCTACCTCCTTTTCAGTGCTAGCAAACCCTACTCTAGGCTAAGATTTTCAGATTTCTCTGGCTTGCTAATTTTTATTATCCACCATCCATCATCTTGCCAACTTCCAAAATTTTGTTGTCATCTCTTATTTGCTGTTCCTACTCTCTGTTCTCTCTTTTCTTGTGTTTTATGCTTGAAAGAAATTCCTTTGTTTGGTAGGATTGCAGGAAGGAGTAGAGATAAATGGAATCAGCTTTGACAGATTTTTAAAGGAGTCTGTGACCTCCCCCAAGTTAATAATCATTCCACTATGCTTATCAAGGGAGATTACAGAGTCCTTTTATTCAAGACTTTTTTTTTTTAAACATGGGAGAGTCTCATAGAAGTATGATTTAGGTGTTGTCCTGAAGTTGTATGAATGGATTAATTGCTTTCTCAAGAAACCTTCTAATCTTAGTATTCTATCTTCATGTTTTCCATGCTTGTTGGAAAAATGTTGAAATTTAGTTTTGTAATCTCAGAAGCATAGCATCAGTGAATATGTTCACCACTACACCAAATCTTGTAGATGAAGAATATAGATTTTTCAATTGTTGAGAACATGGTAGACTTTCTGAGGTGATGGAAATGTCCTATATATGGATGATGGCTTGGAATATATGAGTAAATGCATTTGCCAAACTCACCCAATTGTACACTGGAGTTGCATTCCGGTATAAATTTTACTTCAAACAAAAAACAGAAAAAACTGTAACTGTAAACTGTAAAAAAACTGTAAACAAATATTAAATTCTAATTTAAACAAAAATACATGTTAGGACTGTCAAAAGTATATGAAAGCAGTTCTGTGCATTGTAAAAGGACCTAGTGAGCTATCAGCTGAATAGGAAATTTGCAAGGAGGACTGGGGAGGGAATAATATCATGGACTCCCACATTGATCATTCCCTTTTTAGATATTATTAACATTTATGTGGTAGTTGATATTTTCAGAGTGCTTTATCTTTAGTAATTTTTTCCAGATTCACTAAGAGATAGAATAGGACTAGTTTTCTCATTTCATGAGAGAGAATCTACAGACATAGAGAAGTGGAGATGTGCCCAAGTGAATGAGCGTCAGAACCAGGATTAGAATTTTGTAGGTACACCAACCAAGGGGAATACCTGGGAGTGGGAATTAGGAACTGTTACATTCAGAGCACCAATGAAGACTACCAGGTTATGACTTTAGACTGGCAAGACTTTGGACTGACCCAAGATTGAATCTGTTTTATTGTAGGTAAAGGAGAACCTGCTTTCATGCAAGATGCTATTGCACTGCAAACGGGATGAGCTTCGGAAACTGTGGATTGAAGGAATTGAACATAAGCATGTCCTGAACTTGCTGGATGAAATTGAGAATATCAAGCAAGTACCTCAGAAGCTGGAACAGTGCATGGCCAGCAAGCACTATCTCAGTGCCACCGACATGCTGGTAAGAGAACAGCCAGTGCTAAGGGTCATTTCTCCTAAGATGTAAAAGCACTCTCCTTTGTTGTCTCTGAATCCTGTAATGTATGTAGCACATTACAGACTGCCCTCTGGGGATTCATGGGCCCTAGCAGGTGAAGCCTGGCTGGTTCTCTTTCTAATTCCAGTGTTTGAAATGATAGGTGATTATTATTTATGTATTGCCTGCCTTTGTAACAATGGCAAGAAATATAGTGGTAAGAAACCAATACTTAAATCATGTTGGAATGGTAATGAGAGGTGATTTTTAGCTTTAGAGGAAGATAGTTAATGAATTCCATTTTAAAAAACGAAATCTACACGAGGCAGAACTTTAGAAGATTT